ACACCGCTGAGCAAAGGGGACGAGCCCTGACTCTATTGCGTGTGATGCTGAGTAAATCATTACGCCTTTCCAAACCTCCGTTTCATCCCCTACAAAATGGACCTGATGCCTGCCACACCTGGCTCACCAAGCTGTGACAAGCCTTAAAAGAGAAGGGTGGGCCAGGTGCAGTGGTTTACGCCTGTAATCCCAGCAATCTGGGAGGCCAAAGTGGGTGGATCACGAGGTCAGGAGTTCAAGACCAGCCTGGCCAACATGGTGAAACCCTATCTCTACTAAAAATACAAAAATTAGCAGGTGTGATAGTGTGCACCTGCAATCCCAGCTATTCAGGAGGCTGAGACAGGCGAATTGCTTGAACCTGGGTGGTGGAAGTTGCAGTGAGCCAAGATTGTGCCACTGCATTCCAGCCTAGGTGACAGAGACTCCATCTCTAAATAAATGAATAGGGTGATCAGGTCCATGCATGAGGGGACACTGTACTATAACCACCCTGCACACCTAATAAGCAATGCTGTCATCAAAACCTCTGCAGCAATCTCCTCATAGCCTCCCTGCCCCTCCCATCTTTAAAATCACCAATATTTCAAACAAGGAAAAGGTTTAGACTTGAGAAGAAGGATCAGAGAGAACAATATAGATCATCCACTGTTAGTGGATGACCAAACACTTGGTCATATTTGCCTCAGGTTTTAAATTTTTTTCTAAGAAATATGACATACAAATAGAATTAAATCCCCTGTGTGTGTCCTTCTGATCTCATTCTGTCCCTCCCTTCCCAAAGTTTACTCTATTCTAAATATGGGGTCTTTCATTTCCCATGCATGTTTCAATACTTATTACTAACTGACTGGAGCCCCAGAATATCTACATACCTTATTTTATATTTCTTTTTGTGTGTGTTTTTTATGTTTTTTTGGGGGGGAGGTGGGGGAACAGTCTCTCTTTGTCACCCAGGCTGGAGTGCGGTGGCACAATTATGGCTTACAGCAGCCTTGAATTCCTAGGCTCAATCAATCTTTCCACCTCAACCTGCCAAGTAGCTGGGACTACAGGTTCATGTCATCATGCCCAGCTAATTTTTGTATTTTCAGTAGAGATAGGGTTTTGTCATGTTGCCCAGGCTGGTCTTGAACTCCCGAGCTCAAGCGATCTTCCCACTATAGCCTCCCAAAGTGCTGGGATATGGGCTTGAGCCATGGGGCCCAGGTGACTGTGGTAAGAAACATTTTGTATCATTTGTGGTACACTGTACCTAACTAACATCTTGATGTTAGTTTTTTTCCTACAGTGTATCTATGTTGAGGCTACAGACTTAGTTTATTTTTACTCCTAGCATATTATTCCATTGTATGACTAGATCACAATTAATCTATCTGGACTGCTATTTTTGTGTGTGTTTGTTTTTTGAGACGGAGTCTTGCTCTGTCTCCCAGGCTGGAGTGCAGTGGCATGATCTCGCCCACTGCAACTTCCGCCTCCTGGATTCAAGCAATTCTCCTGTCTCAGCCTCTCAAGTAGCTGGAACTACAGGTATGTGACACCGTGCCCGGCTAATTTTTGTATTTTTAGTAGAGACGGGATTTCACCATGTTGGTCAGGCTGGTCTCAAACGCCTGACCTCAAGTGATCCACCAGCCTTGGCCTCCCTAAATGCTGAGATTACAGGCGTGAGCCACAGTGCCCGGCCTATCTGGGCTGGTGTTCATGGATAATTCATTAATTTCTAAATTTTCACAACTATATGTTGAATGACTGGAGCAGAGTCATTGGATTGTAGCCGTGAGAATCTTCCACTTTCTTACATGTTGCCAAACTATTCTCGAAAATTGTTTTACCAGTTCATATCTCCATCAGTGGCATTTGAGGGTTCCAACAGTGCAACTTGCTTGCCCCCACTCCCCTATATTGACAGACTTGACTCGGTGCCGGTCTGGTGGATGTGTAATAGTGTATCACACTCTCTTTATTTGCATCTCTCACCTGCCCAATGAGGTTGAACATCTTTTCACATTTTAGGCTATTTTAGCCATTTAGGTTTCCTCTTTTGTGAATTGCCTGTTGATATCGTTAATCCATATTTTTAAAATTGGATTGTTGGCCAGCCCATTAAACTCCCTCCACCTGGCACACCCACCTCCCTATTTCCGCAGCCTAACTGAATGCCACCTTTTCAATGAAAGGTGTTCTCTTCCCTCAATTCAAAGTTAGAGTTGCCTCTAAACAACTGCTGGTCACACTGTACCTTTCTTGTGGCATTTATAATTTCCTGTTTTGTAGTGTTTTTACTTCTTATTTTGCATCCCAAACGTTTTAGTTTACAAAAGCACCTGCTCCTTCATTATCTTATTTGAACCTTTATGCAACAGCCCCATCAGATGGGTAGTATTATTGCCCCCTTTGAAACAGATAAAGACACATGGTGTAGGAGGGTCTAGCTAACCCAAGACCCCACCCTAGCTCAGAGGCAGAACTGGACTGGAAGCCAGGACACTCCAATTCCATGTCCAGCTCACAACACAATCCCCTCTTATTTATCTACGAGTCAACACTGCCTCCTCCACGAGATTGCCAGTCCCTTGTCTTCCATCCACCTGGTGTCATACATCCCCCAACTCTAGTCCCACACAGTGGGGCAATCAGGATTCTGAATACAGAATTTCCTAACAAAGTATTAAGACAATGATCACTTATTGCATACCCACTGGGCACCAGGGGCTTTGCATACATTAACTCTAACCTTCCCAAGAAATCCATTTAGGTGAGGACAAGGAAGCTTAAGAGTTGACGTCTTGGGAGCAAGAATTGTTTCAAAAAAAAAAAAAGAATTGAAGTGACACACTCAGGATCCCATGGCCAGTAATGGCTGCAGCTGGCTGTAGCCTCAGAGGTGAGCTCTACCCTCTGTCAACTCTGTCCCCCAGCATCCTGAAGGCAGATCCAGCCAGCTTAGAAGCTAGTGGGAGTGTTCTGCTCACATCATCAGCCCTGCCCACATTGGACACACATTCTCTTGGCAGAACATAGATAAGTAGCACAATCCTAGGGCCCCTTTGGGACTTGAAAATGTGCTCCCCAGGATTGGGAGATTTTGTGCCATGGGGCTGCTCTCAGGCTTTCCTTCCAGGTTCAGGCAGAGGTGAGGCAGGTGGTCAGCACTGCTAGGTTTTGCTGTGGTGCCAGGATTCAGAATGGGGCAGTAAGGCAGGTGAGAGCTGGAGGATCAAGGGGCAGAAGGAAGTGAGGAAGGAGGTGAGAGGACTCCTGGATCTCTGCTGAGAAGGTGAGGCGGAGACTGCACAGATCATGCTCCAAGGCCAGGAGGCAGAGCGCCCAGAGTGAGCAACTGACCAGGAATAGGGAAGGCTCTGAAGGAAGGTGCTGTCCACTGGTCACACCCGTGAAAGCACATATCCCTGTCTGGTGGGGATGTCTGCAGAGTGGGATGGTAGCCACAGAGGTGGGCGCTGTGGATTAAGGGCAAGGATGCAGGTGAGGGTTATTGGTAAGTGTTCTTCCCCACTTCCCCCAAGAATGAGTCTGGGTGGGGCCATGTCTGTCTTTTCCCCCCAGGGCAGGGACCACATGATTGGAGCTCTGCCTACTGCCTCCATCTGCCATTCCTATGACTCTGCATGTTGTCTTTCATTGTGTGCCCTTTATTCACATGAAGTGTTATGTATGCGGTATATATTTGCGATTATATCATATATTTCTGTGCACTCTTCCTCTATGCAATTTGTTATCTAGGACTATTTCAGCCATGTAGGTTTCCTCTTTTTTGATTTACCTGTTGATATCCTTAACCCTTATTTTAAAAATTGGATTGTTAGCTCACTAAATTCCCTCCAGCTGGCACACCCACCAACCTATCTCCACAACCTATCTGAATGCCACCTTTTCCAGGAAACTTGTTTCTCTTACGTGTCTGTGTTGTTACCGTGTTGTGGCTTTATGTATTACGTCCGTCTACCTTAAATGCATGTTCTGTTGTGTGTCTCTGCTGTGTAGTGTATCTCCCCTTGTGTATCTATGCCCATGGCCGGTGTGTACAGTACTTCTCTTTGCGGTGTGTGTCCTGTACATGCTATGGTGTGTTATGACCTGTGTCTGCCCGCTGTGCACTGTGTTGTGTCTCTACATTCCGCTCGTGCTGTGTCTCCGTGCCGAACGCCTGTGCTGTGAGTGCGAGGTGTTGTGTGCTTCTGTTTTGTGGCCCGTTTGGCCGTCCTGGGTCTCTGTCTGCGTATGTCTGCGCCAAGTGTCCGCGCCGCCCTGCTGGGTGTCTGTGCCAGGGTCTGCCGGTGCCTGCGCGCAGAGCTGTTTCCTCAACAAGTGTGCGAGCCGCAGTGTGCGCCATGCGCGCTGCCTGGCGTCTCCGTGTGCGCCGCGGTGTGGCCGAGCCTCGGCTGGGGGCCCATGTCCGGGATGTGCGCGCGGTGGCCGCGGAGGATGCGCGCCAGCGGGGCGGGCGGGGTCGGGCGGGGGCTGGCGGCGCTGCGGGGCCCGGCGGCCCCGGGCTCCAATGGCGAGGCCGGCGCGGCCCCCGCTAATTACATAAGCGGGACGTCAATAATTCGCGGGAAAACGCGAAAAAGATGGCGCCCCGCGCCCGGGGGGCCCCTTCCTGAGCGCCCCGGCCCCTCCCTCCGCCGCCTCCCCCTCCTCCCTGCGGCGCCCCCGCCCCGCCCCGCCCCCGCCGAGACCCCGACCCCGGCCCCACGGGCGGACACTCGGCCGGGCAGCCGCGGGCCGAGCGCAGCCGCCTCCGCCGCCGATGCGCCTGGTGGCCAGACTCCAAGTGGGACCGGCGGACACGCAGCCTCGCGGTGAGTTCTGCTCTGCAGGGCGAACTCCCCGCCACGCTCTCCCCTCCCAGCCCTCATCCCTCTCTTTTCGAAATCTCCCTGAACTTTGGGGGCCCGAACGCCTCCGGGGGCTGAGACTCCTGCGGAGCGAGGCGCTCAGGGGTGGGGACGGGGGTGGAGGGTACCTGCGGGGCAGAGAGGCCCCGGGGGGCGTGGGTGACAGGTCATTCTTTTTCGCCCCCGATCTTTAATTTTCCTGTCGGGGTGGGGGAAGGACAGACGGGCGTTTGGCATTTCGCTCACGTCCGAAGTCAGGCTGCGGCAGGGGTTGGGATGGGCAAGGCTTGGCGTCTGAGCGACTGAGGAGAGGAGCGCTGAACGCGAAAGGGGTGCTTCTGCAAGTTTTTTCCCCCTCCTGAACACCCTTTTTAAAAAGCCAACGGCCGCCCTGGGAGAGGCCCCGGCGCATGAATCATTCTCGCTTCCTGCCCCCGCCCGGCCCCGCGCTCCCGGTGCCGCGGATTTGAACTGGACGCAGACGGGAACCCGCAAACAGGCATTTCTTTGCAAATGGGTTTGAATCAGCCAATCACAGCCCGCAGGGGCCCGCTCCGGGAGGACGGAGGCGGGGGCTGGGGGGGCGCCACCCGGGGGCCCCCGCCCGGCCAGGGTGGAGGGGGTGCGGCGACTCGGCCGGCTCCCAGAGGCTCAGCGGGGGAGGAAGTGTCAGTTTGTGAACCTGCAGCGGCCCCGGCCTGGCCCCAGGCAGGACGGGCGGGGACCTCGCAGCGCCGGGGGAGCCAGGTGGCAGGGAGAGGACAGGGGTTCAGAACGTATCCCCTGCCTGGGAGCCTGTGCGCTCTGCGCTGGAGAAAAAGGAGATGGAAGTGGGGGTGGAGAGGGTCGTGGTCACGCCACCATCTGGGGAACTGAGACCCCTGCAGTGCCCCGCTCGCCCCAGGGCCCCGCACATAAACTCGTACTTAGCTTCACACACTCCCTGGCACAATGCCTTGGACATCATCCCACCCAGTCTTACAGGAGTACACACACGCACCACACAAAAACAAGCACTGGACCCTCTCCCTGTGGACAGTCATAATACCAGGTGCCCAGCGCCGTGGCCACAGGGAGGAGACCCGAGTAGGCGCGCAGGGAAAGAGCCAGGCTGTGACTCTGTAGTGGAGAGTGTGTGGAGGGGCATGGAGCCAGGTGAGTCCAGCGGGGAAGGGAGCGTTAGGGATGGCTTTGAGCACCGGTGAGGGCAGTGGAGAGCCCCAGAAGGTTTCTGGAAGGAGATTGGTGGCCCTGAGGAAGAGTCTGGTGGAAAGGCAGGAATGCAGGAGCAGCCTATATAGCACTGGGTGCTGGTAGTACCCGTTCCCCAACCCAGGTGCCTAGTGGAGGTGAACACAAGGCCCAGGAAACTGTTATTGAGTGAATGAGTGAATGAATGAATGACCCAAGCAAAAGATGAGGCCTGAACTCAGACCAGCATGGGAGGATGGAAGCTAGAACCGGAAAGCCAGAAGTCATGGCACTTAAAATGGGCAGACTACGGCAGCTCATTGCTTGGAGGAGTTTGAGATGCATGGAGGCAATGCCACTAGCAGGGAGAGAGGAATCCATGGGCAAACTGCATGCTGCTGAAAAGGATGGTGAGAGACAGGTGTGGAGAGGTTGGCATGGAGATGACTTCACTGCTTGGAGCAAATGTATATCTAGGTGAAAGCATAAGTGAGTTTAAATGTCCCAGAATTGGTTTCCATTAAATCATCTCGTAATTGACAACAGAAGGGGGATTACAAAAGACAGATGACCCGTCTACACTAGTTACAAGCCACCCAGGAGTTTTCCTTTCTAGGTGAGTTTTCTCTGGACAGATCGCAGGGAAGGGATGGTTGCAGGGGTTGGGGTTTAAAAAAGAAGAAAGAAAAAAAACCCAGCTGCTCCCCTGGATAAGACCCTCCATCCAGAGTACATGGAGTGTGTTTGCCTAAGGAATAAAACCTCAGCCTCCTGAGACAGGGAGTATGGTTCAAGCCCGCTGGGTAGGGGACTTTGTTCTGTGTAGGTTGAGAGATCTATTCACTTTAAAAGACAGTGTGGTATGGGCCGTGGCTCTGCCTTTGGCACATCAGCCTCTTCTCCTTGCCATACCTCAGTTTCCCTGTCTGTAAGATGTGAATAATATCTTCCTCATAGGATGGCCATGAGGAACCAGTGAGATAATAAACAAGCCTGGCTTATAGCACAGGATACAGAAATGCTGATTTCCTTCCTTCCCCTGATGGGCTTTCTGAAGCAGGGAAGCAAGAAGTGAAAACTCTGTTCTTTCTCTCCCAGTGTCAGGGGAAGCTGATGGAGAATCGAGCTCTGGATCCAGGGACTCGGGACTCCTATGGTGCCACCAGCCACCTCCCCAACAAGGGGGCCCTGGCGAAGGTCAAGAACAACTTCAAAGACCTAATGTCCAAGCTGACAGAGGGCCAGTATGTGCTGTGCCGGTGGACAGATGGCCTGTACTACCTCGGGAAGATCAAGAGGGTAAACCCATCCTCTCTGGTGCCTGTTCTCAGGCTCAGCATCTCTCTGCTCATGTTCCAGCTTGGCTCTCAGACTAGGGGCGGACAGGGGGATTGCTAGGGAATTCCCTTCTTGTCCCTCATGACCAAAGCTGGTGGTGGGAGGGACCAGAGCCTGGTCTTGCAGGCACCATCCAACCAGTTCTTTAGAAAAGTACTTGGAGGCCAGGCGCAGTGGCTCACGTGTGTAATCCCAGCACTTTGGGAGGCTGAGGTGGGCAGATCATGAGGTCAAGAGATTGAGACTATCCTGGCCAACACGGTGAAACCCCATCTCTACTAAAAATACAAAAATTAGCTGGGCTTAGAGGTGCACGGGAGGCCAAGGTGGGAGAATTGCTTGAACCTGGGAGGTTGGGGTTGCAGTAAGCCAAAATCGCACCACTGCACTCCAGCCTGGCAATAGAGCAAGACTCCATCTCAAAAAAAAAAAAAAAAAAAAAAAAAAATGAAAAGTGCTCTGAGAACCTACAAAACCAAAAAGTCAGGTTCGAGAGGATCACAGAGGACCATCTGAATTGTGCTTTGGTCCTCAGCGTTCTGACCAAGTTGTCATCCGCCAGTAACTGGCTAGGAGCCTACCATGTCTAGGAACTGCTATCATCCTTCCCCTTCTAGCTCTGCTTTCTGGAGCATAAGGAGACAAAAATGGGGAAGGAAGACTATAATCCAGGTTGGCTTTTCCCTAGCCCTTTCTCACTTGCTTCTTCCTATCCATGCCCCAGGTCAGCAGCTCTAAGCAAAGCTGCCTCGTGACTTTCGAAGATAATTCCAAATACTGGGTCCTATGGAAGGACATACAGCATGGTAAGTTTTCTTAAAATTTCGAGTAGCCCCCAACCTCCCCAGCTTTTCTCTGCTGCCTTCATTTCTTCCTTCTTTCCTTCCATCTCTTACTCCTGGCATCTGCCCTTGTCCATGAACCCCAAGCCCACCTGAGGTGATGATCAAATCTGGTTGTACATTGACTTGGCAAGGTACTTAGGACATGAGTCGTCCCCTTGAGAGTTCATACACCAGGAAGGAGGCTGGGCAGGTGGAGAAGGTAGCTCAGGGAGGTTCTTGGAGGGCCAGGACTGGGCCTCAGGCCTGTGTTTGCTTCCTGGCTGCACTGTATCACCAGCTGCTCAAAGCTCTGAGTCCAATAATTGCTTTCCATTTAAATGTCCCAGAATTGGTTTTATTTAAATGTCCCAGTCTAGGCTAGAAAGCGAATGTGCCCAGGTAATCAGAATTGTCAGCTCTAGATGCAAGCACAGTGTCCCTGATTTAACATGGGAATAAAACTAGTGGAAGCAGCCGTCTCCACGGGGCAAGGAATTCGCGGCAAATGGGAGAAAAACCAATAAAGCAGAGATGAGCCAGGCAGAGTGAAGACAAACATGCCTGGATGGAGCTAGACCAGCTTTCAGGGCTGAAAGGAAGCTGGGTTGGGTACCATCCCTGTCCTTAGAAAGCTGACATCTCTTCCTTACAGAGATGGCAAATCAGGGCCGTGTTTGCCACCATTATCCCTTCCCATGCACACAATAGATATCAGGAGTCATTGACAACACATGTGCACATGTGCTTTCAACGTGGAGTCCGAAGCAGCTACTACCTGTCAATCAGAGTTGGCATGAGAGGAGAAACCTATTTGCCATTTATACTCTAACAGGAGAAGAGGCACGGCCCCTAGTGGGGGAAGAAGCAGGTTTTAGGGTCAGGTAGACCTTGAACCAAGTTCCAGCTTTGCCACTTACTAGCTGCATTTGCCAGAGCAAGTAATACGACCTCTCTGGGTCTTAATTTCTTTAGGTGAAGGAAGGTGATAGTGAAAGTACTGGCTTCATAGAGTGGTTGGGAGGCTTAAGTGAGCTAATCCATGTAAAATGCTTAGCTCAGTGCTATTGGTTAGAGAGAGGCTGTTAATCAAGAATTTGTTACTAGCCAGGTGTGGTGGCTTATGCCTGTAATCGCAGCACTTTGGGAGGCTGAGGTGGGTGAATCACCTGAGGTCAGGAGTTCAAAACCAGCCTGGCCAACATGGTTAAATCCTGTCTCAACTAAATATACAGCTACCCAGGAGGCTGAGGCAGGAGAATTTCTTGAACCCAGGAGGTGGAGGTTGTAGTGAGCTGAGATCGCACCACTGCATTCCAGCCTGGGCAACAGAGTGAGACTCCATCTCAAATAATGATAATAGTAATAATTTGTTACTGTAAGAGATGATTCCAAGAAGCCTGCCACGTAGAGGCCACAGAACCCAGCTGGTTAGTAAAGCTTTCAAATTGCCCCTTTCTCCAAGAAGCAGTGACCAGTGGAGACCGATTTTTCTCCAAATCCTGAAATGTATAAAGATCCAAAGCAATGAGGCTCTTCTCTCCTGGTTTACCTCCTTATTGAAAGCACAAAGAGGCGGATGGAGAAGCCCATTCACCTTAGCTAACCTATGTAGGCCCACCACATGCCAGGCTCCATGGAGGTACCACAGTGATCAGCTGAAGAATAGCTTTACTCCTAGCCAGAATTGCCCCTTCTGGGCACCCGCTGGCATCTCCCGAGGTGAGAGCATAAGGCTGAGCACAACTGTAATTATTGATCCATTGCTTCATTAGGCCAATGAGGACTTACCGAGACACACTGTGGGCACCATCTTCCTGGGAGCATGTTCAAGAATAAGAGGCAAGCTTCCTGCCTGGCCATATTTTCAACAAACTTGTCTTTGAACACCTGTTACATGCCACACTGTATGAGGTCCTAGGGATACGGAGATGAAGAGATATCATTTCTGCTCTCACAAAACATTTAACGAGCTGGGGAAATAAGGCAGAAACACACATCAAAATGTGTTTAATGTATTCATACAAACCTTTCACACATAAAAACGTAGTCTTCAACCAAAATAAAATGCAAAGAAAAAAGAGATGGAGGGGGGGCCTCTTTTAATAGATTAAAAGCAATTGTAAAAACTTCAGCCAGTCACCATGTATGGACTTTACTTGGGGATCTTGATTCAAAAGAACAGACTTAAAATTGTTATGGCATTTGTATTTAAGAGACAGTTGGAAATGTGAACGTTAACTGAATTTGTTAATGAAATTAAGCAATTATGTTAACTTTTAGGTGCAATAAAGGTGTTGTAATTATGTTTTCTAAAAAGAGAGTCTTGATCTTTCAGAAATACATATGGAAATATTTATGAAGAAACGATTGGGTATCTGGGACTCAATTTAAAATAATTACAGGAAAGAGATGTAGGTGGGAATATAGCAGAAATGAGATTGGCCATGAGTTAATAAGTGATGAGAAGATGGAGTTTCATTATAACATTCTAGACCAGGCACAGTGGCTCATGCCTGTAATCCCAGCACTTTGAGAGGCCGAGGCAGGTGGATCACTTGAGGTCCGGAGTTTGAGACCAGCCTGGCCAACATGGCGAAACCCTATCTCTACTAAAAATACAAAAATTAGCCGGGCGTGGTGGCATGTGCCTGCAATCCCAGTTAGTCAGGAGGCTGAGGCAGGAGAATTGCCTGAACCCAGAAAGTAGAGGTTGCAGTGAGCCAAGATCACACCATTGCACTCCAGCCTGGGAGACACAGTGAGACTCCATTTCAAAAAAAAAAAAAATCCCATAATAAAGTTTTAAAAAATTACTTAACCATTTAACAAAACAAGTTAAATCAAGCGGGAGAGGCAACACGATGTGGTCAAAAGAACAAAGGGTTTGATGTCAAACAGCCATGGGTTTGAATCCCCCCGCTCTCCTACTTACTAGCTAAGCAAGGGACTTAACCTCTCAGAGCCTCAATTTCCCCATCTTTAGAATGGGATAATGATGATAGGCATCTCAGAGTGGTTGGGGAGATTCAGTGAGGGGCCACGTGGGGCCCAGTGCTAGGCTTAGCAGACAGTAGAGGCTGGGCATCTGAACTGTGAGTGTAAAACTTCTCATTCCTGTGAGCTGGACCTGACCCTCGAGGGCCTCTCTTTCAGCTGGCGTTCCAGGAGAGGAGCCCAAGTGCAACATCTGCCTGGGGAAGACATCAGGGCCGCTGAATGAGATCCTCATCTGCGGAAAGTGTGGCCTGGGTGAGTGGAGCAAGCAGGGCCCTGAGAAGGCCCCAGCCTGTGGGTCCCCACACACTGGCCCCTGATGGGTACTGCTCCAGCCTGTTGGGGCCTCAACTGGCTTCCTGTTTCTCTTGGCACTCCAGGGTGAAAGGGGGCCAGTTGCTGTGAGGGTTTGGGAGGAGACCCTGGAGAAAGCTGGGAGAGTATGCTGGGGTCCTGCTAGATGGAGAGGATGGGTGGGAAAGATGGGGCTCAGGCACTGAAGCCAGACCTTTGTGTGCCACCCTCCACTGGCCAATGCTGTCATTTAGTCCCCAGCCTGGACACTGACTTGGCCACCTTGGTGGGCAACAGCAGCCAGGCTCCTGGCAGCCGGCAGGCAGAGCTCCTAGGATTTCCCTCAGCCCTCCCAGCCCTGCCTCTTTTGGGCCAACTGGCCTTGGGCCACAGTTTCCTTGTGGGCGCTCACCGCCCCCTCCTTTGCTGTAGGTTACCACCAGCAGTGCCACATCCCCATAGCGGGCAGTGCTGACCAGCCCCTGCTCACACCTTGGTTCTGCCGACGCTGCATCTTCGCACTGGCTGTGCGGGTGAGCCTTCCATCCTCCCCAGTCCCTGCCTCTCCTGCCTCCTCTAGTGGGGCAGCCCAGAGACTCGCCATCATAGAGCCTGAGCTCTAAGCAGAAGGGCCACACCTGGGCTTTAGAGACAGATGGCACCTCTGTCACTATCCTTGACCAGGATTCATAGATTCCCTGAGCCTCAGTTTCTTCAGCTGTAAAGTGGAGATGGGTTTGGTGTCGGGAATAACAGGACCAATAAGTGATGCTTTACTATTAAAAGAGAAAATCCATGTAAATACATCTTGGTAATTGCTGCCTTTATTGTGCTTATTACGCTTAATATTTTTATCAGCGGAGTTCCTTCTGGGATAGAGGGGATGGATTTGGAATTGATGAGAAAAAGCTCTTTGCTTTTCTGACTACGGTCGAATATCTGCGGGTCCCCCAAGCCCTGGCAGCACTTCCCTCGATAGATAGCTGTGTGCTGACTCGCGAGGTCCACTCGGATCTAGTGGTTGACTGGGGCCCTCGTCTCCCCACAGAAAGGCGGCGCGCTGAAGAAGGGCGCCATCGCCAGGACGCTGCAGGCCGTGAAGATGGTGCTGTCCTACCAGCCGGAGGAGCTCGAGTGGGACTCGCCTCACCGCACCAACCAGCAGCAATGCTACTGCTACTGCGGTGGGCCCGGAGAGTAAGGCGGGGGGCGGGGTCCGCCCGTAGAGAGAGAGCCTGGAGTGTCAGCGGAGCGGGAGGGACCTTGAGGGCGGACGCAGCGAGCTTTGGTGTGGGGGCGGGACCCTAAGGGGCGGGCCTGGAGTGTCAGCCGCAGGGGTGGGGCCTCGGGAGGCGGGTCTGGAGTGACAGCCTCTGCGGAGGCGGGGCCTCGAGCGGGCCCGGAAAGTTGGACCTGGGGGCGGGGCTTCGGGAGGTGAACTCGACAGGTTAGACCTGGGGGCGGAGCCTCGAGGGGCGGGCCCGGAAGGTTAGACCTTGGGGCGAGGCGTCCGGAGGCTGGCCTGGTGGGTTAGACCGCTGGAGCAGGGCTCCAGGGAGGCGGGCAGGTTGAGCAGCACCCTGTGGAGGGGTGGAGTGGGAAGGAGGAAATAGTAAGGCCTCGGGAATAGAACTTGAGGAGGCGAGGGCTCAAGGGGCGGTCCCCGAAGGGAAGGCCGAGGGGGCAGGACCTCAATGGGAGAACCTAGGGCGGTGCTTAGCGTGGCGTCTAGCACTGTGGAGCAGGGCTAGAGGGCGGAGGTGTTTCTTTGGAGCTCTGTAGGAAACGAACTATTGAAGCGTGGTTAAGAGCCTGGGGCGGACACAGTGCGGATTCTCCCAGGACGTCCACGTCCTGGCTCTGCTCCTTACCACCTGTACAGCCCCTCAGCCTCAGCTCTCTTAATAGTTTCCCCATCATGTGGTAATTATGAGCAGAGGGTGAATTACATAATTCACGTAGAGGTTCACATAGTGCCTGGCACTTGGTAAACACTTTTTGAAAATGTGAGCTGTTACTGGTGGTGGTGGTGATGCATGAAAGTCAAGATAACTTTTTCACCATCAGAGTCAGTGGAACCCGCTGCTGGTAAGATACTAAGATCCTTTTCCTGCCAGGCACGGTGACACACCCCTGTAGTCCCAGCTTCTCAAGAAGCTGAGGTGGGAGGATCACTTGAGCCTGGGAGATGGAGGCTACAGTGAGCTGTGATCCTGCCACTGTACTCCAGCCTGGGTGACAGAGCAAAGACGACTCTGTCTCCAAAAAAAAAAAAAAAGAAAGAAAAGGAAGATCTTTTTTCCTGGAGATGTGCAATCAGGCATGGGTGGGGGCGCTGGGGGGGGCAAGGCATGCTATGTTGGGGCCACTGTGAAGGGAATTCTTATATGCGGCAAGAGTCTGATTCTTCCTTGCCGACCTGGACCTCTGTGTAGCCGTGTCAGTTCTCCCTTGGGCTGAGTGCACCTGGCATCACCAGAGATGTAAGAGGTAGGGTCTCTACCCTCAGTACATTCACCCTTCAAGACCTCCTGAAGTCCTGAATCTCAGCCCCAAGCTCCAGCTGGGTAATTTGGGCAGTGATTGAACTACTTCATCTCTCAAATGGCTTAACTTCAGGCCCATCAGCTTCCCTAAGTATTCCCTAAGTATGCTTACGGGAAACCTTTCCTGCATAACGCAGTGCTTCTCAATGCATATGGGCAGAGTTACACAGGATGCTTGTTAAAAAATGCATCCCAGAGGCTTCCCTAAAGATTGAATAGGTTTGTGGTGGATCAAGGAATCTGTATTTTAATCTGGACCTCATCTGACAAGGTGTCAAGAAAGCATTGAGCATTTCGCTCTTCTTATTCCATGAATACTTGTTGGATGACCATCATAGGGCAGATACAGTTGCAGGTCAGAAAAGCCAGATGTAATCTTGCCCCCATGTAGCTTACAGAAACCATTATTCTCCCATGAAGTCTCCAAGGCAAACATTTCCCTGTCAGCAGTGTGTGTGAAGCAACAAGTCCAGAAATGGTGCCCCGTTGTGGCGTGGCAAAAAGAGCGCAGCTTTTGAAGTTAGGGAGACTAGAATTTGAATCACCATCCTCCACTTGCCTTCTGAGTGAGCTTGAGCAAGCCATTTCACCTGTGACTCATCTGTAATATGAGGACAGTGGTCTATCTTTTACCAAGTGGTGAGGTCAAATAAGATAGTACATGTCCAACTCCCAGGTCCTCCCTTGGCACAGCCTAAGTGCTCCATAACTATAAATTCTCTTCCCTTTCTGCCAGTGGAGGGCAAATTTAAGTTGGGAAAGGTTGCCAAGGCCCACACCTGGCTGGGAGTGTGGTCCTGGCTGACCTTGGCTCTTCTGTCTCTCCAGATGGTACCTGCGGATGCTGCAATGTTACCGATGCAGACAGTGGTTCCACGAGGCCTGCACCCAGTGCCTCAATGAGCCCATGATGTTTGGAGACCGGTAGGTGCTAATTTGGTCCAACTGGGCCTTGGGCGTGGTGGGGAGGGACCAGGGATGGCAGCAACAACTCCTGCAGGTTGACTGCCAGCCCCCTGATAAGAGGGAGGCTGTGACAATGTATGCTTACCTGTTTACTGGAGGCAGCTCAGGGTAGGGGATCCCTCCAGCTATGCAGGGCCAGGAGGCAATAAAGAAGTACGCTGGCTGGTCGCAGTGGCTCAAGCCTGTAATCCCAGCACTTTGGGAGGCCGAAGCAGGCAGATCATGAGGTCAAGAGATCAAGACCGTCCTGGCCAACATGGTGAAACCCCATCTCTACTAAAAACACAAAAAAATTAGCTGGGTGTGGTGGCGTGTGCCTGTAATCCCACCTACTCCAGAGGCTGAGGCAGGAGGTGGAGGTGGCAGTGAGCCGAGATCATGCCACTGCGCTCCAGCCTGGTGGCAGAGCGAGACTGTCTCAAAAAAAAAAAAAAAAAAAAAAAGAAAAGAAAGACAAGAAGTATGCTGGGCCACATCCCTAATTGCCATTGATTTGTGGAATACCTTAGAAAAAATGCCTGCCTTCCCTATTCCCCAGTCACTTAAGTATCTGGGGTAGAAGGGGTGACAGTCTGCACCAGACCTGCCCAGGGTTGTTGTGGGAGCCACTGGGGAAATGGACAGCTTACTGTGGCTTCTGGCCAATGGAGCTAAGCTAAAGGAGTCATTAGGGATGTCAAACCAGATGTTATGCATCTTTTGGTTGGTGTCTCATGTCATTTGTGGTGGCGTGTGTGTGTCTGTCTCAGAGGGGAAGAAGATGACCATGGGAGCCCAACCTAGCTCAACTCACTCTCTGTGAACTCAGTTATGCTTCAGGGCAAGATTTGGGAAGGAGATTTAGGGTAGGAGTTAGAAGGATTATGAGTGGTCCCTGTCCTCCCCTGCCCTTGTCCCCAAGTGGCCAGCAGCAAAGATTAATGGAAGGCGGGTGGGGAGTGAGGGGATCAGGGAGCTGGACAGGGGGGTGTCAGAGCCCCTCCCACCATAGGCCCCCCTCTCTACCCACCCACAGGTTTTACCTGTTCTTCTGCTCCGTGTGTAACCAGGGCCCAGAGTACATCGAGAGGCTGCCCCTGCGATGGTGAGAGGGTGGGGCTTGGTCCAGACCCACCACTGCTCCTCCCAGCTTCTCCCCTCCCTTTTCCCTCCTGGAACAATTCCATTTCCAGATATTGGGTCCCAGCCCTGCCCCTGTCTCAGCCTGGACCCAGAAGGCTGTGACCTTGGCTGAGCAGGCTGCCACCTTACCTGGCCCCACTTCCTTACCCCCTTCCCCAGGGTGGACGTGGTTCACCTGGCCCTCTATAATCTGGGGGTACAGAGCAAGAAGAAGTACTTTGACTTTGAGGAGATTCTGGCCTTTGTCAACCACCACTGGGAGCTCCTGCAGCTTGGCAAGGTATGCGGGGTTGTGGGATGTCAGTGGCAGGAGGCAGAGAGGTTTGCCCAGGGCCAAACAGTGCAGTACTAGTATTGAGGTCTGTGAGCTCTCACCCTTGAGTTGCTGCATCCCTGAGTCCAGGCCTCTGAGCCTGTGTCCTTTAAGGGCTGTCCTAACCCCAGATTTTGGCAGTGGGCAGGTTGGGGCCTCTCCAGCTCAGTGGAGGGGAGCTGAGGGGCCTAGGTCAAGCCTGGCTGAAACACAGCTCTCTGCTGAGTGTTTGACCCACTCCAGATTTCCTGGCTGGGATGCAACATGGAGTGGGTCTGCCTGATGCTGATCCTGTGCTGAATAGTGGGTCATCAGGGGCCTGGGAGCCTCAGATCCATAGAGTGAAGTAACAGAGACTTTCAGGAAGTCAGAGCTAGAGAGTGACTTGCCTGTGGTCAGCAGAGCTTTTGGGGCTGAGCCAGAGCTGGAGCCAGGACCTCCCTAATCACTCCCATGAGTGCTGTGTCTTTTTTCCTAAAGACATCCTTAGAATCCTCTCCATCACATACAGAGTGAGCCATCTTCTCTACGGACTGCCCCAAATTCTTCTTTGATGAAAAGGAATTATTTTAAAAATAACCTTTATGCTTTGCAAAATACATCTTCTTTTACAGTATTTGATAATTTTTTTAAATAGATATTATAAAACCTTAAAAGATATGTAGAGTTGGTATTTTTAAATAACTTTTCTTCTGATTCTTTTTTTAATTGTACGTATTCCTGGTGGAAAATCTTTAAAGTACCAAAAAGTATAAGGAAGTATACTTTTTAAAAGACCCATATCACACCACCCAGAAATCACTAGAACTAATGCATAGGTGCATTTCCTTTCAGACTCTCTTCTATGAATATTTTTTCTTTTTAGTGATTTAAATGATATAGTATATACAATTTTAAATAATTTTTTTTTAGTATACATTATACTTTTCCATATTATTAGAATCTTCATAAACTATTTTTTTTTTTTTGAGATGGAGTTTCGCTCTTTCGCCCAGGCTGGACTGAAGTGGCGCCATTTCGGCCCACTGCAACCTCTGTCCCCTGGGTTCAAGCGATTATCCTGCCTCAGCCTCCCGAGTAGCTGGGATTATAGGCGCCCACCACCATGCTTGGCTAATTTAATGGCTGCATTGGTTTCTGCCATAGTTTACTTGTTTCCTTCCTGTTGGGCGGTTTCTTTCCCACTTGTCCACCATTAGAAACAATGCCACCATTTTGTATGTAAAGTTTTGTTCATATTTCATGTTATATCTGCAGATATATAGATTCCTTGATAGATTCCATAGAGTAGCATTACTGGGTCAAGGGTATGGACTTTTTAAAGCTCTCAATATAGTTAGATCAGGAAGTATTCTCTCCATTTACAGATGGGAATGAGCTTGGAGAGGTAAAAAGGCATATCTGAGATCCTGGAGTGAGTCAGTGGTCCTCACCTGGAGGACTCAGAAGCATCAGGAGATGGGAGGGGAGGGAGTAGGGGCTGGGGCCTCCCCACGCACCATGTGCCCGGGTCTGATATCCTGCCGGCCTTCTCTCCCACAGCTCACCAGCACCCCCGTGACAGATCGAGGACCGCATCTCCTCAACGCTCTGAACAGTTACAAAAGCCGGTGCGTGCAGGGAGGGAGGGTATGTGGTAGGGCCCTCTACAGGTGACATTTCTTCTTACCGCATTGCCTTTGCTCAGGCTGTGCTCCCTGCCTGTATCCTCCCCTTCTCTATGAATCATTCCTATTCTCCAAGATCCAGGGGACAACCCACCTTCTTTGCACAGCCATTCTGACCACCCCAGCAGCCTGCCACATTTTGGTACTGGGCTCAGCTCTGTAGTGGGGGGCTGTACCCCTGCTCTCTGAGGGCCCCTCCTGTTCTAGATATCTAGGGCTTGTGGGCCAGGCACTGAGGGATGAATGCATCATCCTGAGTGGGCTACAGCCTCCTGACCCATCCCTCAGCCCGTCTTCCCATCCCGGGTTCTCAGCATACACAGCTGGCCATGTCCCTCACCACACTACAGAGGCATGCCCAGGCTCCTAGGCCTGGCACCCAAGGCCTTTGAAGATCAGGCCATGCCCACGTCCTCTGCCACTGCCCCTTTGCTTTCTGTATTCTGGGTGCCAGCCATCTTGAGCCCTTGGTTTCCCACCCGGAACTTTTGCTTATGCTCTGCCCTTTGTCTAGGATGTGCTTCAGTCTTTTTCACTTATTTGTTCCATCAACAAGTATTCATTCAGTTGCTGCTCTATGTTGGGCCTGTCTGGGTGCTAAGGTCATGGTGGGGAATAAAACAAGGTCCTCATCTCTGAAACTCTTCCAGACACCTCTAGGCAGAATTACCCACTCTCTTCAACATTCTCATGGTTTAGGGCCCAGACAAAGCCCTGCTCTTCATTCAGTATAAGAGGCCCCCTGCCTTCCCAATGGACAGATCCCAGATCCCCAACTCCTTTTACTTCCATTGGGAGGGCAAGGGGCTTCTTGTGCTAAAGAGGGGAGGGCTGTGTCTGAGTCACTTCTGCAGCTTCAGAGCAACTCAGCCAGTGTTGCTTTCAGTCTTCTGGGGAAACCAGAGAACAGAATGAAGTAGGTTCGTGTCTTGACCATAGGAGTTCCATTGTGAGCTGGAGGAGGCCTTGCAGGAGATGGCCTTGGGGCTGGTTGAGGCAAATAAAAGGAACAAGAGCAGCAAGAACCACACTCACTCATGCAGGAGGAAGCACAGGGAGGAGGCACCAGCTGAGTTCTCAGCTGCTACCCGGAACTCCACATCCCATGGGCTTTGAGGAAATCAAAAAAGATGTTCTCCAGAGGCCATCCAGATTTTAGCTCTGGGTCCAGTGAGGCAGAGAAGCTTGTGTCATGCTTGACCCCACCCTCCAGGAGGATGGACTGGCAGACTCCAGAGCTTCCTCCTCCCTCTGCCCGCCCCCCCCCCCCCCAGGTTCCTCTGCGGCAAGGAGATCAAGAAGAAGAAGTGCATCTTCCGCCTGCGCATCCGCGTCCCACCCAACCCACCAGGGAAACTGCTGCCTGACAAGGGACTGCTGCCAAATGAGAACAGCGCCTCCTCTGAGCTGCGTAAGAGAGGAAAGAGCAAGCCTGGGTCAGTGCTCGGGGACCCAGGGGCCAGGGCTGCAGCCAAACCTGGTTTCTCTGCTTCCAATCAAGCAAGGAGGACCGGCACCCAGAGAGTCCCAACTGTAGGACCCTGAGAGGGCTAGGTAGTGGCTGAGCAAGAGCCCAGATCCCAGATCCCCAACGGCTTTCACCACCACAGCCCCCTCATTGCCTCACAGGGAGGAAAAGCCAGAGCTGAGGACCCAGCCCTGCTAGATTAGGACTTGGGCAAGGAGGTGAAGGGGAAAGCAGAGTTTGAGGGGTCCCTCACTTTCCTGGCTCAGCTGAGCCCCCTTATCCTGACACTGGGGGGCAGAGCATCTGGATGCATGTGCCTGGGGAGGCACCTTTTCTTTTTCTACCTACTATACCCACTCCACACCCTCCCACCCCTGCTGCCCCCAGGACTCTCCCTCCTCCCCAGGCCTCCCTGTGAAGGTGCAGCTGTGTTCAGAGCCTGTCTCCCCAATTGCTGTGACCCCCGCCCCTGCGGCACCTCCCTCTGGGCCACCCTAGGGCCCTCAGGCTCTGACGGGGCCACCCTCTCCCTTTTCTGTCTCCACAGTTTGTTGCCTCACGAATTCCAGCAGCAGAAAAGGCGAGTTTATAGAAGAAAAAGATCAAAGTTTTTGCTGGAAGATGCTATTCCCAGTGTTAGTTCCTTGTTTTCTTACTCTCCATTTTCACACACAGGGTCAGCACATATTAGGGCTTCCTGTGCCGAAAACTAAGTCCCCCAGGCCCAGAGGACTCTCTAATGGCCCTAAAAGGAGAAGCCAGTCCCTATTATAGCAAAGTCAGTCACTCCAAAACCACTGCGTCATCTCCCCCCAAGTTCTCCCAAGAACCCAAAGTTGGGGGGTAAGGGCAGGTAATAGTCTTGTCCCCACTGTCCAGGTAGGGACATTAAGGGAAGGGTGGGGCAGTGACTTTCCCCAAGACCACACATCAAAATGGCAGAGCCCAGCCTGGAACCAGGGTTCCAGAGCACTTTCTTTCCTCCTTCAGTAAGCATGCCTCCTCCCTGAAGCCCTCCCTGTGGGCAGGAATATTAATAATGCCTCATCTCCCAGCACTTTGTGCTTTATAAGCATTATTTAGTTGTACTGCACTTCCTGACGTCTCTAAGAGTGAAGCAAGGCAAAATGGGGAAATTGTCCCCGTTTTGCAGTTGAAGTAACTGAGGTCCAGAGAGGTGAAGGTCGTATAGTCAGCTAGAGACAAAGGCAGGGCTAGAACTGGGGTGGCTTGGCTCCCTGGTCAGGACTTGGAATAAAGGTGATGGTTTTACCCTAGGGAGGGCCCAGCCCTCAGCAGCCCTGGCTGGACAGGAGGCAGCCTGTGTGGGAGGCAGATTTCATACTCGTTGTCTGACCCTTCCTCTCTCCTTCCTGTTTCCACAGAGTGACTTCACCTCAGCCTGGAGCACCAACCACCACCTGGCTAGCATCTTTGACTTCACGCTGGATGAAATTCAAAGTTTAAAAAGGTATCCGTGTGGGACCTACTGGAGAGGTCTTCTCTGGAGACTGGGAGGGAACCAAACAGAAAGCCAAGCCCTCAGTTAAAAGGATCCCTGCTGCACAGGTCTGCCTGAAGGGGCTTTCTGCAGCAGAGCTTTCAGCATAACATCCCTGTTCCCAGAGCACCACAGCCCTCCCCACTTCTCCAACCCTCCTCTCCTGCTTCTCCCCGCCTCGAACCTTGGTATCCACATTCACCATGCGGTTTGATGCCTGCTCATCGTGGCTCATGTTGTTCCTTCTGCCTGAAATACCCTTTGCCCTGCCCTAGCCCATCTGAAAACTCAGGGCCCTGCTTCTTCCAGGAAGGCTTCACTCACCCCAGGCTGCGCTGGACGCCCTCCTTTGTAGTTCCATAGTGTCCCTATGTTTAAGTACTCCCAAGGGAGGAACTGCATCTTCCATCATTTTAGTTCCCAAATTATTAAAGGTAATTTAGTATTTTCCTGAGGACATGGAGGAGGGCTTTAGAGTCAGACCTGAGCTCCAGACCCTGCTTATCTTCCTCAGCTATTTTCCTCAAACAAGATAATGCAAATGAAAGCACTTTTGACCTGTCAAGTGTCACACAGGTGCCTCCAATCATGCTCATGGAGTTACTGGCACCAGTGCTTACGTCACTGCCAGGGGAGGGTGCTCTGGGGAGCTTTTCTTGACTTCTTGGACTTTGAAAGGTAGATTAGTAGGAAACAGACAGGTGTGATGGTGGGAAGCTCAGCTGTGGGAAGATGGGCACCCACTGGGATGGAGGATGCATGTTAGGGGCAGAGAGATAGCTACAGAGGTCCCAAGAGATCCTGCGGGCCAGGTTGGCAGGATCTTGCTGGGCCGGGTCACTGCAGGCTCACCATCTTGCCCCTCTCAGTGCCAGCTCAGGCCAGACCTTCTTCTCAGATGTCGACTCCACCGACGCTGCCAGCACCTCTGGCTCTGCCTCCACCAGCCTCTCCTATGACTCCAGGTGAGCTTCCTGGCGGTCTGACCTTCACATTTTGCAAGGACCATCATTCCTCCCAGCCCCTCCACCTCCCACTTCTGTCATGTGTGGCTCATTCTGTGTGTTCCAGTCTCCAGTGGGGGAACCTGGCCTTCTGCAATTGTGAGTCTGGCTCTCAGACCCTCTGGTTCTGAGTCATGATGGGACCTAAGTATAGGCATTCAGGCTCCTGTCGTTCCCTCCCTTTGGAATGCTTCACTTGCTGCAGAAGGTTGTACAACACCACTCACTGGGCGATTCCAGTTCTTGGGTTGTTGGATCAGAAGTTCTTTCACTTTTGGCCTCTGCATGCCATGACTTTGCATGTCTCTGCCTCTTGGACTGCAGGGTTCCCTGATTTTGATTCTTGGCTGTCTGAATAATCTGGTGTCTGTCTTCTGTGGTCTCTAAGGGAAAGAGCCATTTATTTAGAAGCCTGACAGAAGGGAAGACGGAAGATGGCATCCTGTAGGATGGAAGATTTAGGAATAGGAACAGAAATCCCTGGTAGCCTATCTTCAGTACTGCTGGTCTGTCAGCAGCTGGTCCTCAGCAGTACAGGGAGTGGTAGAGCAAAGGGATTTCCTCTGCACTCAGGCTGCACTGTATTTGGAGATACTTGACACCCTTGCAAAAGTAGAATTAAAAGTATAATGCCTGGCCGGGCACGGGGTCAAACCTGTCATCCTAGCAGTTTGGAAGATTGAGGTGGGCAGATCGCCTGAGGTCAGTAGTTTGAGACCAGCCTGGCCAGTGCGGCGAAACCCCATCTCTACTAAAAATATAAAAAAATTAGCCAGACATGGTGGCACCTACCTGTAATCCCAGTTACTTGGAAGGCTGAGGCAAGAGAATCACTTGAACTGGGGAGGTGGAGGTTGCACTGAGCTGAGATTGCATTACTGCACTCCAGCCTGGGTGATAGAGTGGGACTCCATTGCAAAAAAAAAAAAAAAAAGTATAATGGTATGACGCCTGTAGAGGTCTTAGAGTCTGTGTCTCTTGACCTCTGTTTAGGTGTCCTCTGCTGTTGCCTCTGTATTTTTATTTCTTCCTGTGTGTTGGTTGGTTGGAGACAGTCTTGCTCTGCTGCCCAGACTACAGTGCAGTGGCATGATCTCAGCTTACTGCAGCCTCCACCTGCCAGGTTCAAGTGAGTCTCATGCCTCAGCCTCCTGAGTAGCTGGAACTACAGGCATGCGCCACCACACTCAGCCAATTTCTTCCTGTTTCTTTGGCTTTCACCAGCACTTCAGGTCTTGGTTTCTGTCTCTAAGCATCTGAATGTATGCCTTGTCGTGTTTGTCTGTGTGTCCATTTCTCTAACACTTCCTCACCGAGGCTCTGGGGTACAGGCTCCTTCAGTTCCTAAACCCCAGCTGTATGTGACCTATCTAGCTCCATGAGTCTAGTGAGGGGCAAGGCAGGATAAGCAGGGCCTCTGCACTGCACGACCTCAGGAGGCTCAGTGAATGGTGCTCTCACGCTTGTGCAGTGCTGGGATCCTGGCTGTAAGATCATGTGTTTAGGAGTTGGACATTCCTAGGTTTGAATCCTGGCTCTGCCACTCCTTAGCTGGTTTTCTCCTCTGGATCCTCAGTTTCCCTCCTCACAGGACTCTCGTGAGGATCCAGTGAAATAATCTATGCCCAAGCACAGCGCCTGGTACTAGGGATGGGCTCAGGGAAAGGAATTTCTCTCTCCCACTCCTGATCATCTTCCTCTCCCGCTCCTGATACAGATGGACAGTGGGCAGCAGAAAGAGGAAGCTGGCAGCCAAGGCATATATGCCCCTGCGGGCAAAGCGGTGGGCAGCTGAGTTGGATGGACGCTGCCCCTCGGACAGCAGTGCAGAGGGCACTTCGGTTCCCGAGCGGCCAGACGAAGGCATTGACAGCCACACATTTGAGAGCATCAGTGAAGATGACTCGTCCCTATCCCACCTCAAGTCATCTATCACCAACTACTTTGGTGCAGCTGGGCGGTTGGCCTGTGGGGAGAAGTACCAGGTGTTGGCTCGGAGGGTCACACCTGAGGGCAAGGTTCAGTACCTGGTGGAGTGGGAAGGGACCACCCCTTACTGAATAGCCCCCAGGGGGTTCCAGGGGCCCTGAAAACCAAAGGAGGTGCAGCAGAAGCCATAGGCTCCCCAGCTTTCTCCAGGCTGGGATGGGAGAAGGAAGCAGGACAGAGCTGCAAGTGCCTGGCAGAAGGCCCTGCCTGCCTGCCTGCCCAGCCAAGGCCTGCGTCTCTCTTGTACCAGCTCTGCTCCAGGGCCTCCTCAGGCTCACCACCCCTACATGCTCCACACCCCCTCAGACTCTGTCTCTTCCTCTGACCTTGTGTCCCCTGCTCTGGGACCCTTCCTCCTGAGGCCCAGGTCTTTGTCCCAGTTGTGTGCCTTGACCTCTCTTGCCCCTTTTGGGTGTGTTTGCACATCTTGTGTGTGTACAGCTGGCCCACCACTGGATACCCTTCACACCTGACTCATGGGGCAGCCAGTCCTCCAGGGACCACATAACAGGTGCCTTTGGCAGAGCATAGGAGAAGATGGATGAGGATGCCGCTCAGTGCTTTTCTCTTCCACTTTCCTGCTACTCCCCACTGCCCTTGGAGAGAGGTGGCGGGGTGGGAGAAAGCCCCTTTGAAAGCCTGCAAGGATATGAAGGGTAAAGGGCTGTGTCTGCCTCAGAAGGCACCAGCTCCAGGGCCCAGGTATTAAGGCTGAGAGTGAAGGCTGCCAGTGTCAGCTTTGGAGGTTCCAGAAGTCATCTGTTCCCCACCCCCTCTCCCCTCAGTTGCCACAGAGCTGGGCCAGGCCTTGAAGGAATGGAGACATCCTTCAAAACCTGGGGGAACAGAGTGGAGGGTGGTAGTGGTGGGAGGAAAACCATGTCATGCTAAACCCGACTTTCCGGTGCCTCCCACCCCCAGACCCACCAGACACCACCCAGCAGACAATACACACCCACTCCCACAAGCTTCCACCCATGTGTGTTGTACTTTATGCCCTAAGCACACACACAGCCACTAACCACATGCCCAAGTGTACACACAGCCACACAGTCCCTCTGGGCCTGCTGGCTCCACCCTTGTCTTTCCCATGGCCCTCCATATGGAATGTGAAAGCTCTGCTCCCGCCCCTTCTTTTAGCCCATCAACCAGCTTTGGTCCCATAGGGAAGCACAGGGGACTCAACCTCTTTCATATCCCTTGCCCTTCCCTGAAACGGACAATCACTTTTTGGGATAGGTTGCGATTTTTAAAGGGCCTGCATCATTCCATTTTCCTCAAAGAGAAGCCCTTGCCAGTGGGGGTTTGAAAGAGAATTTTTAGAACCAGCATTCAAATTCTGCCTCATCTGGAGGGAAACCAAAATTGGGAGGAGGAAGAGGACCCCTCATGTTTTGCTGCTTCCAGAGATATTAGAAACTGACTCACTTGATTGGAAAATGGACAAAAGTGCCTTGAGGTGGAGGGTGGGCACCAGATGGGGACCAGCCTTGCCAACTGCTGCTGTGGCCTCCAGCTTGGCTGGTTTTGCAGGCCACCAGCAGGAAGGCGAAGGTGATAGTATAGCAAGAGGCACTGGGGGCAGCAGGCCTGTAGGGGCTGTTCTCCATTACTAGGCCTGCCCCCTCTACCTATGAGCATTCCGAGGGTCCCTGAGATAGTTTAGATGCCCATCTTAGACCTCAGCTCCCACAGTGCCTTCTAAGAGGGACCTCACCTCCTACACACAGCCCACCCACTTTACTCTGCTTCCCTGGCACAGCCCAGGCATAGACGAGCTGGCATTGGACCCAGTCTTCCCCCTTCTCAGCCCCACAGCTGCTGCTACAGGGGCCAACTGGGGCCAGGTGGAAGGGGAGCTAAGAAGCCAGCCCCTAGCCCAGTGGTGCTGTGGGACCTGGGATCCAATCTAGCTTCCTGTCTGGCTTCAGAGAGCCCAGCAACCTCCTAGGCCTGCTTTCCAGATTTCTAAGACAGCCTGGGATGAGCAATCCTGTTACAGTACATCTGGACCTTCTCTACCTGGGCTCCAGAGAGGCTCTGGGCTTGGAGAGGGAAAAGCAGGGAGGGGGTGTGTTCACCACCTGGGAGGACAGCACAAGGCCTAATGAGGTCACCCTGACTCCCCACCCCAGCATTTCATTCATACCAGATAATAGCTGCATTACTGCCAACTGACCTTATAACCCTCTGCACCTTCAAAAAGATTCATGGTTTTAAATTGCTGCTTTTAATAACATTTGTTAAAGTTATAATTAGTGTGTCTGATTTATGATTTAAAAGCTCCCTTTGAACAATCACCTTCTTCCCTGTAGTGAATTAGCTGCTGGGTAGCAGAAGGAGTTGGCTCTCATTTGCTGCTGGTTTACTGGAGGTTGAGGAGGAATAGCAGGACCCTGTCCTCTGGCCACCCGGCCACTCCTACCACTGCCAGCAACTTTCTCACCCTTACTGCCAGAGAGAATATGGAATCTTTTGTGAGTACTCAACCTTTAGGGGCAAAAAACATTAGTTGAGGGCCACTGACAGGTAAAAGATGAGAAATGAACTTAGAAATTTACCCTATTATAATACTTAGGTCCAGGCACAATAAAACTATCAGTCACACAACTCCAGACATCGTCACACAACTCCAGACATCACACAACTCCAGACATCGTCACACAACTCCAGAAATATGAAATGAGTTCTAGGCCTGACTGCTAGTTCTAACCCACGCCACTTTAGTCAGATTCCTTTCCTTCAGTTTTCTCACCCTTCAAATGCCATTAATAATCCCAGCACACCTGCTCCCCAGGTGTTGGGACAGACTTTGCTGTGTGTCACTGATTATTACTTTAAAATAAACTTCTAAATTAAGGGTGGTTTGGAGAAAAAAAAAAAACAGGATATGTGAAGGGATAGGAAAAAGTCATCTAGTAGGGAGGTAAAGGCCTTGGATTCCATTGAATTCTACAGTTTCAGGGGTAAAGTGTAGCCTGTAATCCTGAATGAAGGGCTTAGTGGTATTAATAATATCTGCCCTTAAACATCTTCATTCACTGGCTCCTGCTTCTTTCTGCCACTCCTTCGGCTTCAACCTTTTATCTGTCCTCAGAATAAAACTCCAGTGGGAGTTGGGGGTTGTTGGTAGCTATTCTCTGGACTGAAATGAATGGAATGAAAAGTGCACGACATCAGGTGTCAAAAGACCTGGGTGTAAGGTCTACAGTAAGCAGCTATATGGACCCTCCTAAGATCAATGGGCCTCCCAGGCTAGAGAGTGCCTGCTTCTCTGGAGTCTAGTATTTCCAAATTCACAACATTTATCTTTGGAATTTAGGGACAAGGAAGTAGAATTCTCAGAAATCCCCCAAATCGTAAGTTATTCTTAAAATACTTCATTCTTTATACTCTTCCTCATTATTATAGGTATCTGGAAAAACTTTATTTTCTAAGTAGACATATTAAGTTTATTTGTACTTACAAAGAACTGTGGCTTATAGAGAATATTTAAAAGGAAGATGCCAGGGAACATATATTGGATAGCATTCAAATAAATTTAACAATTGAATATCCTAGAGCAAGGTAAACAGTATATAGAATCAATTGTGTCCAGACTGTTAACTTATTTTGCTTCCGAAGTTTATTTCTCGGAACACCATTCATAAGATTTATATCAAGTATGCTAGGTTGTTTATCAAATCATTTTATTTGCAAGAAGAACTCACCATTAGCAGCCAATAGGGCCAGACATACACACTTAGTGACATCACAGCAACCAAAAGTAAGGCTAATTAGATGCTGATCATTTCCCTCGGCTTGCTCCCGTCTCTGTTCTTGTAGCCTTCAACTCAGTATGTTATATTTGATGAAGCTGGATTCTTTCAAACCAGTAATGTCTCTATAATGGTGTTAGTATTCACAGAATAACTATAATACTTCTCATTTCCTCAACTGATTTTTCTAGGGATTATGGATTCAAAAAACATACATTTCCTAAGAAATACTGGGAGGGAATTCCCACATGGAAACACTGGTCTGGGTCCTAGCCCTAGCCTCTGCAGCATCATTCTGGGAATGATAGTATGTAATAGTGGCCAAACTACATAAGTTGGAGTTAAAGGCAGACCATAGAGATCGGTGAACTGAAGATCTGTCGTGAGTAATAAACAATACTTTTTTTTTTTTTTTTTTTTGAGACGGAGTTTCGCTGTTGTTACCCAGACTGGAGTGCAATGGCACGATCTCAGCTCACCTTAACCTCCGCCTTCTGGGTTCAAGCAATTCTTCTGCCTCAGCCTCCAGAGTAGCTGGGACTACAGGCGCACACCACCATGCCCAGCTAATTTTTGTATTTTTAGTAGAGATGGGGTTTCACTTTGTTGACGAGGATGGTCTCTATCTCTTGACCTCATGATCCACCCACCTCGGCCTCCCAAAGTGCCGGGATTATAGGCGTGAGCCACCGCGCCCAGACTGTAAACAATACATTTTTAAGTGCCAGACCAACTTACCACATAGATGTTTTAAGAACTAATAACTTTACTGTTGGCTGCAGCAGCTTCTCTGGATCTATGGCCTACAAAGAACTCAGTGAACCTCTGAGAAAGTAAGAGCATTAGGTTTAGAATCAGAGTTGGGTTCACATCCTAGCTCTGCCACATACTTTACGTGTTTCATGCTCTCTGATTTCAGGTTTCATCTGTAAAATGAGGATAGCAATGCATTATAAGGATTAATGTTAAGGAACCGAGGACAATGCCTGGCAGAAATGGCCCTCTCCCCTCCCATTTCCTACAACAGTCAACTTGACACCAGGGAAGAGGAAGGCCACCAGGAGTTTTCTGATAACAGAAAACCACCCAATCAAGGCCACAGACAGAAAAATCTCCTTTGGAATTAGTCTTGCTTTAAGAATATTCAAGGAAAAAAGCTGAATTTCCTAATTCCATAAATCAAAAGTGACTATGTGCTATAGAGAGAGCTTTAGTTAATTGAATACTTAAGATATCCACTTGCCAAACAGGTGCAAGAGATTAAATAGATTCAGACATGCCCCTATCCTCAAGCAGCTTACAACCTAGGAATATAAAGCTGACTGTGATGCACAAAGATGACAGAATACCACGACAGAAAAGATTCCTCCCAATCACGGAAGCCAGGCCATACAAAGGAGCAGCAACATTTCACAAGCATTCATGCAGAAGGGCATTCTGGGCAGAGGGGACAGCAGGAACACAGGAATAACACCACACAGTATAGTGGAGCCATCCATTTCCCTATGTGGGAGAGGAGATGCAGGGGGTGATGACGGAAAAGGTGAGCTGAAGCAAGGTTATAAAAACCAGACCTAGAAATTGGACTTTCTCCTGGAAGCAGTACAGGCAGTATGTCTTGGGTCCCCAGGACATTTAGGTAGGGTCTACTTTACACAGATTTGCATATATATCATGATCTGTTGTAAAAAGCAAGGGACATCACCATTATCATTCTCTTTGTTCTTCTAAGGCAGTCCCTCAAAATCTCCATTGGAACCCTCTGGAACTTTCCAAGGGCCTCAGCCTAAAGACCCTACAAGATCTTTGCAAAGGACTCTCAGAGATCCTCTTCCATTTGATATTTGGGAGCACCAAGATCCAAGAAGTACAGTAATTGTCAGAACTACAGCCTGGCATTAGCCCTCCTGCACACCCTCCCCTCAAGGAGAGACCCAGGATATAACAGCTATCTGTAGACCCCCACCCAAACTGCCCATGGTCTCCACAGAATGGAGTTACCTGATGACAGATTCAGAGGGGTTTCTGGGGCAAATCTCTCTTCTTCTTAGTCCATGGGGCTCAGCAGGCCACTGCCTTCCCTGCCCTCTTCCACCACAAACCCATGGAGCAGGTACAAGAGAGCATGAAACAGGATGAGCAGCCCAGGTTGCACCACCCTCTTTCTGGGCCTCCATGCAGTTCAGTTTCCTGAGTAATCTATAAAATGAAAACTGGCTCAGAGGGGTGGTTTACAAACCTTTAACAAAGCTTTTTAAAAAATCCCCATGCAGGGAGCCTCCAAGGTACCTTTTGTCAACCTCTGGGGCTCTGTGAAGCAAACCTGAAAGACACGGGTCTGATTCCTGGGGCTGCTTGTCTGCTCAAGGGAAAAGCTTAGTTTGGTGGGCTCAGAATCTATATCTTCACTGACAAAGCACCAGAATGACCTGATGTCTGTCATTCAGGCCAGGGAACAGCCAAGACTTACTCCCAACCCATGAGGCTGTGCCAAAGTCCTAATATTCCCTGAATTATACAAAAGCTCATGGAGCCCATTCCTAGTCCCACATTGTCAGAATTCAGAAGCAACAAAAGCTTCTTTGGCAAGGAGAAATAATCCTGCTGATCCATGAAATTGCACCATGAGCAATTTATCCTTTTGATAAAGCATTTGCCAGTCCCCCTAGGAGGAGGCATTCATCCCACACCCTTCCAGGTGAACAAGGTCACTGGGGCCACTCCTCCCCATAAGCAGCAGCAGATCAATTACATCCTAGGCACTTCAGGTAGGCCTAGTGACTCCAGAAGATGACAAATCTCACCCTCACTGCCTCTTGCCCTCAGTCTCCACACAACCATCCTCGTGCCCTCATATCCCTGATCCCCCTTAACCGTGAAGCACTCAGAGACAAGTTTCACTGGGTTCTTGCTTGGCCTGACTGGCTCAGCCTTTTCTTCCAGCTTCAGGAGCCTCAGACCTTCAGCCTCCACAGGCCATTTAGCTCCTCTGCACTGACAGGAACATGGAATCCAGAGATGCTGGGAGGTAGAAGAAGGCCTCCTCTTCCCTAGAGTGCAGCTGATGAAGGCTGGAGGCAGCTAGCAGCATGCACAAAAAGCTTCACCCACTCAGCCCTCTTCCATGCCTTCCTCAAGCCACTTTAAATAGTACACATCTCCTTGATCTACTGGGAGACTAAAGACGGCTGAGATTTCAAAAGGATGTACAGCCTTTGGAGAGAAAGCAAAGCCATGTGAGCGACTATGATTAGAATCAACTCACGTTATAAAACCCAACTGGCCAGCCTCACTGGAGGCCCTCTGCAACCTGCTGCAGCCCACCTATCCAGGCCCATGGCCTGTCACTCTCCAGCTTATGTTCCCCATCTGTCAACAAGTGATCAGTTAGGCCAGATAGCTTTAGAGTCTCATAGACATGGGCTCAAATTCTAAGGTTGCCCCTACTAACTGTCTGACTATGGACAAGTCACTTAGTTTCCTTTAAGGCTCCTGTAAAACAACAAATAACAAAAAGGCCCTACATGACTGGACTGCTGGGTATTAACTAATACAAGGTACACAAGGACTTACCCAGTACACCAGGTGGCACTGTATGCCTTCATTAAATGCCAACTATTTTTATTGTGCCATGTACATCACTTCCCAAAACAAACTCCCCTCCCCCAATATCTCTGTATTTTCTTGCCCACCTGGAAGATTCCACCTACTCCTGCTGATCAGTCAAAAGCCTCTCTATTCTTGCTTCCAAAAAAAAAAAGCCTCTCGATCCCTGAAGGCCCAATTCAACCACTGACCTTTTCCAAGTGATCTTCCCTGACAACCCAGGTCTACAGGAATCTCTCCTTCTCTCCCGTTTCTTTCACCTGGCCCTTGTCAAACAGTGCAAGTTCTCTTCACTTTCCAGACTGAAGAAACATGAGGACTTGAGCCTCAGTGTCCCATCTGTCAAATGGGGATTATAATCCTCTGCCTCCATTCTGCTGAATGAGGTATTTTAAAGTTCCCATAACATGCTTAATAAATCACAGTTCATCATTGGATGAACAGGGTTGTCAGAAGCAAGAGAGGGGCACAATAGTGGCCCCTCTGGAGTATCCTGTAGCTTCTTGAGCCTCCTGGGGCCACACCTAAGCCCTTTCACCATACCTGACAATGTCTCTGGCAATTTTCTCATAGGAACAGTTGACAAAGATGATGCAGTGAGTGCCAAAGACATAGCTGCAGGTCACAGGTGAGTGGAGCTGCACGATAAGGGCCTTGAGCATGAGTTTGGGGTGTGTCAGAAAAGAAGCTGCCAGGATCTACATGAGGGAAAAATAAAAGCACGGATCAGTGACATCACCAATTCAATGCCTCCCAGCTCAAGCAGATTGGAAACAAGCCTAGGGTCATTTTTAATCCCCATCCCCTTCCACAGATTAATTCCTGAGATCTGCATTGAGCTTTAGTGTTTAGACCGTTTTCATATCTATATGTTTTCCCCGGCATTTCATAGATGAAGAAAAAAATAGAGGCCCAGAAATCAAGAAACTTGCTCAATATCACATAGCTTTAATTGGTGAAGCCAGGATAAGGACAAGTCTGGATGTCTTGGAATCCATTTTTACTGCACAAAACTGCTATTAGAGGTAATATCAACTGGCATCCACTGACCTGCCATCATCCTGTGGAGATTATTATGAATGATAAACTATTACACCTACTGATGTTTTAGGAAGTAATTTCACCTGCATTCATTTGTACATGTACCAGGTACTATGTGCAGTACTGAAGAAAATGCAGCCTTGTAAACAAACTTAACACCCTAGTTTTAAGTAATCTAAAATCCCCTGAAATTGAATGCAACTTTCAGTTTATCTGTACATTTTCTTCAGATGCAAATCCACAACTTCTACAAAACTACTCAGGGAGACCTAAGATCCCCAAAAAGCTAAGGTCCACTGGTTTGTGCCAATTTTTACAGATGAGGAAATAAAGGCCAAAGAAGGGAAGAAATCACCCAAAAGGTGAGCAGCAAAGCTGAGCTAGAACCCTGGGCTTCTGATCCTCGCCTACAGTTCTTTCTACCCCCTCCACCACCTGGAGTTACTCTGTAGTCACTTCCAACCTTAACACTTTGAGATATTTCCAAGATGAGAAAAAGCCCTAAGAAAATTACAGAAAAATGAGATGGTAACTACAATAGACCTATTATGTGATGCCTGGATGAGAATTCACCAGCAGATACCTCTTCCCCTCCTCCATCAAGCAAGACACAGCCCAGTCACTCCTCCCCAAGATGCCGGGAGTGACAGTTTCCCAGTAAACCTAGAAAAACACTCCACAATCTGCAGGACACCAAGTGGTGCTTCCAGAAACCAAACTGTTCACTGCCCTTACCTGGCTGCCTCCAGCGCAAATCCCCAGGAGCCTTAAAGAGAAATTTGTCTGCCTTCTCCCTTCCTTCCCTTCCCCTCAGTCCTGAGGCTGGGAGTTTAGGGATGAAGAAGTCTGTAGTGTGCTGGCACAGGGCACTCACCAGGAGGCACATGAGGACAGAGAGCCGTGGGCAGCTTGGCAGAGGACACCATGAGCCCAGACTGTCTATAGCATCACAGGTAACATAGCCACACCATGGTAGTGAATCGCAGCCATTGACAAAGGTGCTAGTGGGAGGGCACTGAGGGCCTAAACTGACCTCTCTCCCACCACCTACCCCGGCTCCTCCCTGGCCCAGTCTGCCAAGCTTGCCAGAAGGAGACCAGGAGAGAGACAGTGGAGGAAGCAGCAAAGAGAGGGAAGAATTTCCACTGGACACCCTTCACCCTTGAAACAACGCAAGCACCATACCAGACCTACAACACCTGCAAAAATACACTATTTCACTTTCCATTCAAACAATTAAAAAAAAAACATAAAATCCCCGAAGATATCCAAATACAAAGACATAAACTCTTAGAACACAAAACCTTCAGAATCTACAGCACACAAACACTAACACACATATACAAAATTCTTCCACTTTAGAGCAGCCCAACCCACCAACAAAACAAGAGAAGCACGCACATGGCTGCCTCTCTGGGTCCTTCCTCCCAGAATCTCCCTTCTAATTCTCCTTGGCTTAGAACACTCTTGTTCCCTACCTGTCTCCTTAGTGAACTCTTTCCTGGCCATCCCAAAGATTCTCCCACAGTCCCCTGCCCGTAAGGCACTTTGCACACATTTTTTTTGAGATGGAGTCTTGCTCAGTCGCCCAGGCTGGAGTGCAGTGGCACAATCTCAGCTCACTGCAACCTCCAGCTCCCCGGTTCAAGCAATTCTCCTACCCCAGCCTCCCAAGTAGCTGGAACTACAGGTGTGTGCCACCACACCTAGGTAATTTCTGTATTTTTAATAGAGATGGGATTTCACCATATTGGCCAGGCTGGTCTCAAACTCCTAACCTTATGATCCACCCACTTCCACCTCCCACAAAGCTGGGATTACAGCTGTGAGCCACCACACCTGGCCTGCACACTCTTTTGTGGTAGCATGTGACAAACTATGGGGAGCACTAACAAATAAGAAAAGCAGCAAGCTAATGATTGACTGTTGCCCTTCTGAACACAAGTTCCACTGTTGTCAGAATTAACAAATTTTTAATCCAGATTTTTAATGTGAAGTATCCTCCTTTTAAAAATGATGACAATTCTGGGGATGGGGATAGAGAGCAGAGAAGTGTAAGTACACTGTTTAAGAGAATTGTTCTATGTTTTAGTTGTGGCGGGAATAACACAAGTGTTTTAAAAATTCAATAAGCAGTACATTTAAGTTGGCAGATTTTATCGTATGTAAATAGTACCTTAAAACAGAGAGGGCAAAATGGTGGAAGCCAGTTCAAAATTGTTTTCAACTAGACAGACCAAACAAAACACATCTGTTAATCAAATCTGCCTTGCAGATTGCCAGCTGACAGTCCCTGCATTTATTGTAATTACCTGTTTACCTATCTGTTTCATTCCCTGGGATTATAAATTCTTAAAGGCCTAACACACTTCTCAGCAAAGTGTCTGACAAAATACCATAGTTAATCAGTTGTAGACGTATTCTTTTCATTTGTATTGTTAGTTGTGCAGACTCAAGGAAGTCACTTAATTTCTGTGTGCTTTCAGGGGAGATTTTTCTCATAAACGAAGGTCTAATATCCCCTTCATAGGTCTGAAGTGAGAATTAACAGAGATTAATGTTAAGAGTGCTTATAAAATATGGCCAGGCACGCTGGCTCATGCCTATAATCCCAGCACTTTGGGAGGGTGAGGTGGGCAGATCACTTGAGGTCAGGAGTTCAAGACCAGCCTAGCCAACATGGTAAAACCCCATCTCTACTAAAAGACAAAAATTAGCCAGGTGTGATGGCGCATGCCTGTAATTCCAGCTATTCAAGAGGCTGAGATAGGAGAATCGCTTGAACTCAGGAGGCGGAGGTTGCAGTAAGCTGAGATCACACCATGCACCCCAGCCTGGGCAACAGAGTGAGACTCCATCTAAAAAAAAAAAGAGTGCTTATAAAATGTAAGACCATGTCATTCAAGAGCAAGTAGCCTCTTGTCAACTACCAAGGTAAACTCAGAAAACCGCCATTTGTGATTGAGGAACTTACTACCTATAGAAGAAATGTGGTTAGATAAAATGAGGCTGAGTGGTCCTAAGAAAAACCTTTATATTTTAAGTCACTAAAATCAAGACCATGACCTTTTATACCTATTATATTAATAAGAATGGAACTGTTAATGACCATTTACCTCAGATTCTGAGATGATTTCCTGAGCCAATGTCCGCAAGTTTAGCTCAGAGCCCTGCAGAGTTTAAGCTCAATGTTTGTTGAATGACTAAATGATACAGATGTGTGGCCGGTGATGAAAAAAGGACGATGGTAGTTATGAAAATGATGTTGGGGTAACAAGGGAAGGATGGCCTCTGGAACCTCTTTGTCCTTCAATTCAGGTACTTATACTCTCTCCAGATTCACTTCCAAGGTTACATTCCAAAGGTTCAATTTTGCATTAATGGCTTGGACAGTTTCTTCAGACATATCATGACTCAGTGCCATGCTGGAGGTTCCAGGTGTTTCTTCTGACAGCTTCTCATCCTCCATCCTCCTGCTCCTTATCGGATCCTGATTCAGAGTCAGATTTCCCCTCAGACTCAGATTCTGTATCCATCACCTTCACCTAAATGACATCCTTTTCATCACGTCTTCCCTCTCTTTCTTCAAGTCCTTTGCTTTATTTTGAAGGTTCTTTTACATCTCTTTATAAGCAATTTATTTCACGCCTGTAATCCCAGCACTTTGGGAGGCCGAGGCAGGTGGATCACGAGGTCAAGAGATCGAGACCACCCCGGTCAACATGGTGAGACCCCGTCTCTACTAAAAACACAAAAAATTAGCTGGGCATGGTGGTGCGTGCCTGTAATCCCAGCTACTCAGAAGGCTAAGGCAGGAGAATTGCCTGAACCCAGGAGGCGGAGGTTGCGGTGAGCTGAGATCGCGCCATTGCACTCCAGCCTGGGTAACAAGAGCGAAACTCTGTCTAAAAAAAAAAAAAAAAAAAAAAAGCCAAGCTTCCATCGAGGAAAAGATCCATATCAATTATAGCATCAGTGAGGTCTGCCGTCTGGCATCAGACAGCATTCAATTTCTTCTGTCTGCAAATACTTTTTCCTATGGACATAGACTCTCAGTTATGACCAAACAATGAAACTTGAGTAGCTCATTAATTTTACTTTCCCTGATATCACTGAATCTTAAACTCATCTGTTTTGCAGACACTAAGATTTTTTTAAGTTCATTAGCTCTAGGGAAACATGCATAATCATTCACACATCCTCCTGAACTTTCCAGCAAGCTTAAGAGTGGCTAATTTTATATTACTCATCACCTCTTTTATCAATACTAAAGCATCAGCAATATTGTACTGTTGTCATGTTTCTTTCAGAGTAAGGTGAGGGATTTTTCAATACAGTCAGCAAAGCAGTCAAAAATATGCTTGGTGTAATACCTCCCAAATGCTTCAGTTATACCCTGACCCAAGGGCTGAAGAAAGCTAGGGGCTCCCTGAGGGATAAACACAACATCAACATTAGAAAGAACAAAGAATAATGAGGCTGGGTGATTGGGACCTCTGTCCACAACTAGCAACATTCTGATTTCCAGATTTTATTTCTCTTAAATGACTTCGGACTTGAACAATAACGAAACCAATCCAAAAAGTGGCCGTGGTGATTCTGGGTGTGATCACAAGAAAACAGGAAGGTGTTTATCTGTTTCCAAAAGACAAGTAGGGGATTAGAGCCTTTGTAAAGCAGCAGTGGTTTATCGTTGTCACCTGAGGCACTGCCACAAAAAATGAGGGAAATCCTGTCCTTAGCTTCCTCTAAGCTTTCCAGATTTTTGTTTTTTTCCCCAAAAGTAGGAAGGCATGCACTTCGAAAGATGGGTCATCTCCTTGGTGTTGAAAACCTGTTGAGGCACACAACCTCTCTCCAGTTGCTTGGAATACTCAGCGCCCACTCGGCATTTAAGGGTCCTTCTTCCCCCATCAACTTCATATGTTGCAAAACAGCAGCGATTTTTAAAGTTCTCAAGCCATCCCTTGCTCGCAAGATACTTATTTGGGTTGTCCTCCCCAGATGTTTCCCACTGGTTCCCTGTAGATGTGTTAGGCCTGGTTGCAGAATGCCTTCCGGGTCAGATGTCGCCCTCTATCATCTGGCCCTCCACCTAAAAGGTTAACTGGGTCTCCATCTTCACGATGTTTACATTATGTTTACATTATACACAGCAGCTTGGAGCAGATGGGCGATCAACTCTCCACGTTGGTCTTTCTTGGTTTTCTGGGGGAGGTGGGTAGCAGGGTCTTGCTCTGTCACCCAGGTTGGAGTGCAGTGACACAATCACAGCTCACTGCAGCCTCGACATCCCAGGCTCAAGCGAGCCTCCCGCTTCAGCCTCCCGAGTAGCTGGAACTACAGGTGCGTGCCACCACACCACACTAATATTTCCTTTTTTTTTTTTTTTTTTTTTTTTTTTTGTAGAGACGGAGCTCTCACTATGTTGCCCAGGCTGGTCTCGAACTTCTGGGCTCAAGAGATCCTCCCGCCGCAACCTCCCAAAGCGCTGGGATTACAGGCACAGCCACCGCGCCCAGCTGCTTCTCCTTGGTGGACTGATCAACACCAATAAGGAAGCACACGTCCCTATTACTCACGCCTTCGTCGGATTCCTGGAGAATATTCATCCGGTCTTCCAGAAGCATAACGCTCCACTTCCTCTTGACAGGTGTCTGGCCCAGGATCAAGCTTCCCCTCCAGGCCTCCGCTCCGCTTGGGGCGGCCTCAGCTGCGGCCGTAGCCGCAGTGGCCTCCATAACGGCTGCGATCGCCGTTGCCGCGAGGCCGCCGATGAGGCCGTTTACCTTCCGGTGAGTCCCCATACTCGCCGCTGCGCTGGCCAGGACAGGGCTTTGCCCTCCGCGGTAAACACTTAAGCCGACTGGAAAACTGGCCTCCGCAATCCACTGAGCAGCAACCCCAGATGACCCCAGACTGAGGAAGCCGCAGCCACTGGCTACAGTTGACAAGGCCCTAACGGACACTTATCGCGATGCTTGGCAGCCAGGGAGGCTGTGATCAGCAGATCTCGCGAGGCTCAGGGAAGCGACCCGGGAACTAGGCTGTCGGGCCAGCCCCTGCGTTGGGGGGTAAGATGGCGGCGCAGGCTTTGGCGCTGCTGAGGGAGGTGGCGAGGCTGGAAGCGCCGCTGGAGGAGCTGCGCGCGCTTCACTCCGTGCTGCAGGCCGTGCCGCTCAATGAGCTTCGCGAGCAAGCGGCGGAGCTGCGCCTCGGCCCGCTTTTCTCTCTGCTCAACGAGAACCATAGGTGAGAGGACCCCGGGGGCTTGAGCCGAGGAGAGAGGCACCCCTAAATACGGACAGGAAAGTGGTTGGAGGCAAGAACAGCCCTTTTCCCAGTCACAGGGGAGGTGGAAAGTAACCAATATTTGCAAAGAAGGAAGGATCCTGGGTTCTGAGGCAAGAGACGGTGTTCATGTTCAGCCTGAGAGTGCCCAGGGTCAGTTTTCTCCCGTTTTCTTGATACAGGAATTAAAGGAGGAAAGCAAAGTTGTCCACTTAAAAGGAGCATTCCACATCCTTTTGTACAGGTTCTTGATTTGTTTCCTCTTCCAAAAGGATCCTGTCCTGGCAATGTGGCAAGAACCGTCAGCATTTTAAATTCACATGCCTTTTCATCCAGTCATTCTTGTTACGAAAATTTAATATAGATATACGCGCACAAAATATGTAGTTATTTTGTCCTTTCGAACCCGAGGCTGAAATTGCTCCAAAAGCAGCGGCAGGGGAGTTTCCACAAGGGAGTGCTTCAAGATGTGGCTGGTTGAGATGCCCGAGAAAGAATCACTGAATACCAAGGCGATCAGTCCAAAAGCGTTTAGGGGGAAACTTGCAGAGGGCTGCAGAAATTGCCGAGACGGACACTGGGAGAAAAGAGGTGTTCCTGGGTATGTCCGCCGCGAAGGGGGTCAGGGTCAGTTCAGATGAGAGTTTAAAGGAATTTGGCTCAGGGTTGAGGTCAGTCTCTTTGAGTGTTTTGGGCAACAACCTAGGTAACTTTATCAGGCCTGGGAATGTTCAAGGCCCAGGTTTATGGTCAAGCGTGCTAGGGAAATATGCAGCTGGCTAGGTCAGAGAGCAATCAAGGCACTCTGATTTTCATCAGGACACAGAAAGAATATTTATAGCATATCATATGTGACACCAAAACACTGGAAACAATCTAAATATCCGTTAACAGAGGAGTCCAAATTATGCACTATTACTCTGTAACACTGTGCAGTTATTTAAGATACTGAGGTAGATGTATGTATATGTATGTGGACATGAAAAGACCTCTGTTGTTGAATGAAAAAGAAAATTGCAGGATTTATGAATCTGTAATTTTAATCTGTAATTTTAAAAAATGATTACAATCCTCCCAACCCCCACAGCCTTCTATAACTTATATATAACACTGGAAATATCTGCAAAGGTACACCAGAAACTATTGATAAGGAAATGGGGCTGAAAATAGTAGGACAATTTTTACTTTTGATATTTTACACATCAGTAGTGTTTGATTAAAAAACACTTTGTAGCCGGGCGCGAAGGCTCACGCCTGTAATCCCAGCACTTTGGGAGGCCGAGGAGGGTGGATCACCTGAGGTCGGGAGACCAGTCTGACCAACACGGAGAAACCCTGTCTCTACTAAAAATACAAAATTAGTTGGGTGTGGTGGTGCAGGCCTGTAATCCCAGCTACTAGGGAGGCTGAGGCAGGAGAATCGCTTGAACCCAGGAGGCAGAGGTTGGGGTGAGCCGAGATCGTGCCATTGCACTCCAGCCAGGGCAACAAGAGTGAAACTCTGCTTCAAAAAAAAAAAAACTTTGTAGAGCGGGAGCAGTGGCTCACGCTTGTAATCCTAACACTTTGGGAGGCAGAGGCTGAGCTTGAGCTCAGGAGTTCAAGACCAGCTTGAGCAACACAGTGAAAACCTGTCTCTACAAAACAAGGCAAACAATTAATTGGACGTTGCCTGTAGTCCCGCTACTTTGAGGACTGAGGCGGGCGGATGGAGGATCGCTTGAACCCAGGAGGTGGAGGTTGCAGTGAGCAGAGATTGCCCACTGCACTCCAGCCTGGGTGACAGAGTGAGGCCCCGCCTGTCTTTTTTTTTGGGGGGGGGGGTGGATTCGTGCTTTGTAGCCCAGGCTGGAGTACAATGGTGGGATCTAAGCTCACTGCAACCTCTGCCTCCCAGGTTCAAGTGATTCTCCTGCCTCACTCAGCTTCCCAAGTAGCTGGGACTATAGTAGCTGGACCACCACCACACCTGGCTAATTTTTTAGT